AAAAAAAAAAAAAAAAAACTCACCAGTTGCATTAGAAGCATTCGTAACCGCGGTCGTAGTCGTGACACTGTTCTCTCCTACAAAAAGTAATAAACAGCTTATCGCTTTGGGGGAAAATATTTGTTTATTATATGCTGCTACAACTCTCGCTGTTTAACTCATCGAAAGAAAACGATCACATAATAAAAGCTGCTATAAACAATAAATATGATAAGGATGGCTTAAATACAGTGTGGATGGCAGGAGGTGGCCATGTTTAGATTTACATTTCATTTCTCAAAAACACCAAAACTTCAAAATTAAAGCACTTTAATTATTTCTAGTGTGTGCTCACGTAAGGGGCCGAAGCAAGCTTGTTGCTTCACAATATATTGAAAACTTAGATCATAAGGCAGCCTACCAAGGGACTATACGTGTTTAGCTAGCTCGAAATATAAAACTTATATAGACCCAAAAATTTGGACCAAAATTTAGTCTACTTTGACCAAAGACAAATCTGCAGCAGTCCAATTCAATGATTTATTGCACCTTTTGTTTCAGAGAATATTTTCTTAAAGTCGTTTTCCATGGGCTTTATCTTGTATCGAAAAGGGCTAATTTTTACCTAAAAGTCCATACCAATTTTGGTCTACAGTTGTTTTGGACTCAGCTGGCTGTTACCACCCTGCCTGTTATAAAAACACTTTCCATCTCTTTTTGCGGTCACCTATTCATTGATTTCTTTTCCATTCGTAAACGCAATTAACTGTTGCGAGAAGTTCCATGTTGAGAAAACGATACAGAGCCGTTTTCCGAGAAATGAACGCTTTGCGCGCACACAGTTCAAATCCCGGTTATTCACTATCTGAACTTAACGGTTTGGTTTGATTCAAATGGAAGCAAAACAAAACAAATCAATTACCGGTGATCGTTCCTGAACTGCTATGTCCAGACGAGGGTGATGCTGTTGACGTTAACGATGACGATGATGATGATGCCACAACTGACGTCATCGATGTCGACAACGTCACAGTTTCGTGTGACGTCACCAAGGGACTATACGTGGTGGACGTGGCATTGGTCGTGTCATTTTGGCTCTGTACGCATAGGAAAGATTGAGTCAGGAAAATTAGGAAGGTCCATAGATGAATATTCATCTGAAAAACAAAATGAATACGTTTTAAATTTTAGTGAAAAGATTTGAAAAAAAAAAAAAAACAGCGAGGGACAGTATGTTTATTAATATACGATTTGTGACATTTCTACACTCTGTTACGATTAACCCAATACGATTAAAATTGTGAATTAAATTTTTACGTATGAAAGGTTTATATATATATAGTCAAAATATTGAAATGCAGCCATCTTCTATGCAAAAGCTTCTTTTTGGAATACACACCATGTGTGTAATGCGTTGTCTTTCAATTCCCTACATTAGCGTGAAAACCATAAACCAGATGGGTCTCGCTACTTTACGGTTTTCATACTCATAACTGTATATACTGTATTATAACAATATAACAGATGAGTCTCACCACTTTACGGTGTTCACACTAATAACTGTATGTGCTGTATTATAACAACACGCGACAACAGCGTGGCTCATAAAAGATGTGTACAGTAGTTGAAAACAAGACCACGTCTTATAGAAACAAATGCACTTCTGATATACGCCGGGTGCACCAGAGTGGAAAACCCGACGCATTTAGGACTCTCGTTGTTAACAGGTGTTCTTAACAACAGATGAAAGCAACTGTGTTCATCACGAGTACAGTATAAAATAAGGAAAATACGACCCCCCCCCCCACACCCACACACACACCCTTCCAATAGCTTCATGTTGAGTTGTAAGTGATTTCACAGGGGGGTCGTTTTCAAAAAAAAAAAAAGATCTGCTTTGATACGTTAATAAACATAGGGCAGAATTCAACGTGGGCATGTTCACCAAAAAACAGCTTCAAAGAGGTGTTTTTAATCCTGTTTTTTTTTTCCATAAAAAATCTTCATGAGTTTGGGTTAATTTCCTTCGAATTAAATGAAGTGCATACAATTTCTTATAAGTCTTCTGGTAAATATCAAAAAAGGTGAAATAGGGAAAATTTATATCTGCGCCAGTGAGATAAAAAGAAAAGAAAAGAACACACAGAAACATCTGCACAAAACTCAAGTATATGCAGCGAGGGTATTTCAGGGATTGACCAAGACTTAAATAGAAAATGGTCATCTTTATTTGATTTTCATGAAGATTTTTTATGGAAAAAAAAAACAGGCTTAAAAACACCTTCAGGAACAATTCATCCTGTATCGTATACAACCTGTTTAATATTGTATAACACAAACCATTATCAAAAGGGCTCATGACCACCATAAAAATCCAATCAACATATTAATACCACGGATCAACAAGGAAAGATGACATCGAAATTGGTTTTTGATCATCTTTAGGGCTAAATTCATTATGTGTTACACGCTTTCTGGACAAACGCAATCATCATTATACCAATGACACATACAGTGAAAACAGCACCATGACAAACATGATAATTAATTTCCAAGCGATGTAGTGCACGGTCGTTACATGAGACGGCTCTCACTGCTAGGCTGTAATTTCCGTTGAGGACCGTCACCTTCATGACTTTGATTTGATTTCTCGGAAAGCTTAAAAGGAGATGAAACACAAATGCTGGTGCAGGTGTGACGAGTTCCATTTCAATCTTAGGAAGATAACATCCCTTCGAATGACTCAGACTCACATCGAAACCACGAGAGTTTTTAGTTAAATAAACTGCTAAGTGATTTTTTCAAATATTCTAAAATTTTACAAAGACAATGGCACAAAAAACGTTAGGGGATTAAGTCCTGTATTTTGTGCGACAGAGGTCCCTGAGAGTGATGCAGGGATGTGTTCGCATTAATTTGTAGTCCCGTCCTGGATGTTGACCACTTACGTCACGCTAACCCTAACCTGTATGAATCGAATGGTGGTCGGGCTCACAATGGTCCTCAGTTTCTACACATCGGAATTAAAATATGTGACATACATCACCTATCTACCGGTCTTTTCGGGTTTCAAGTCCAGACCTAATTTCGGATTTTTTAGATATTTTGTGAGAACGGGCCCGGGCCTCGCCCATGATAGCGCACAGTTTACTCAAAGCATATTATCTTTTCAACTGATGTGGTAAACAGGGCAAAAGAGCAAATATCTTTATCTTTAAGATACTGCACTGGAATGCTGTTGATTCCAACACACAGACAGTCGGGACAGGCATGCTGTGCTTTGTTTAGTAGTAGACTGAAAACGAGAAGGATGTTGTGATATTGCAGTATCGACGTGTTTTGCAGAGTCTTTTGGGCGTTTACGTCTTCAAGGACTAATTTTATGGGAACTCGGGCACTCTTGGGGACATTTTTTCGTGTAAAAATATAAGGGTGCTCCCCGTGGGGTCTCATTCATAGGGTGTCTATGTTAAGCCGTCTCTCTAACGAAATTATATGTTTCAAGGCACCTATGAAGCTCTCTTCAACGGTTTAGTCAAGCGTGAGTTTTTGTATGCAGGTTGTTTTGAATTATCTGTCGTGCAGAAATGCATTACATTGTCGATGCATTTCATATTACTTAACGTCATTCTTTAAAAAATTGCAATGTGACAATGGGATAATATTTATGCTCGAGCCGCCAGTGTTATTACACCCAATATCTGAGGACTTGTTTATCATGTTTCATCACGTTTTAGATAACGCTTATATGTAACGGCCCTGAAGAGAATAGGAATCAAAACGAAAATGGATAGAAATAGAAAACCAACCAAGATTGCCTCAAACAAAACTATGTGACGTCATAAAAAAACTGTAAAATATGCCAAAATTTGCGAGAAGTAGGATGTAATTTTCAGCCATATGGGTGAAACTCTATGTGCCAAATTTTCTTCTTAAAAAGCAACAAAAAAAAGTGATACACAAAACATGGTGAATCCATGTTGTTATGTATCAGTAAATATAGACAGACTTTAAAAGAAAACAAGCAGAAATCCACTTGTTAATTTAGCTTTTATTAGTTGTATCACCACACTTGCTAGGTTGTCAATATTACTCTCCTTCACTTTCAGTGCACATTGTTATTATGAATCACACTTGACGCGCTTCACTGCCAAGATTTTGCGAAAAATGAAGACCCGCACCTTGAGCGTTTCAGCTGCTTTGTAGATCCTTGTTTTCTACACGTCCAAGTACATTTTTGGTCATGAGGGGCTTGTCCACGAGTTGGTTTTTAGTCCAGAGTTAAGGGGGACAAATATAGGGAAACGCGCGGAAGGCAACAATTAGAGATGAAATTCAACAAATCTTGGCTTTCATCAAATTTTCTAATGATTCCGATTAATACACGTTCCTAAGGAGTCTTTAGGTACACGTAACTCTTGCTCTCGGGCAATTATGATTTATTAGCGCATTTTAAGCTACACAGACAGGGAGCAAAGAATTTAAATAAATTCCGTCAGTAAAAAGAATACCATAACGTCAATCATTCTTAAGAGCATGCAAAAAAGACTGCAAAACTAAATGAAAACTGGCTATCTCGATCATTTATGATTCACTATAGTATTTTGCAAAATTATACGGGTAGAAAATTGAATAATCAGTACCAGTATTAGTCTGGCATGAAAACGATAGCGCAATTCACATTACTATAAAAATCACAAAACGCACTAAAATTCATCTATTGCATTTCATTAACCCCTTGACCGCAAGTCTGTCAGACTATTTATACCGTAGCAGTCGCAATTCGCTTGGTTAAATACAACCAATTTGGTCTTAAACGCGTCCCTTAGCGTCTACAGTTACACACAACGTGGGTTTAATGGAGGAAACAACATTAGCTTTAATGATGATGATGATGATGACAAAATCCGATGTAATAGTACTGGTATCATCGCGATTTACCCCCCCTCCCCCGCCCGCCTCCACCTCGCTACATCACTAATATTTGACTTGGGTCTTTGATCTTAACTAAATATCCTGACAGGGCTTAAACACACTATTTGTCACTGACAATCCCCACCGTAATCCGTGCTCCTACCTTACCGAGTTTTAGCATTACCCCCCTTGATAGGCAAGTAGAATGGTTGTAAAAATTACCGTCTTTTTTTTAAATACCAACAATCTAAACATTAGAATAAATAATCTTCAATATTTCTAAAAAAAATCTTGCACTCTTTCGATGGATTATGCAAGATGCTACTTATAATGGTCTATTATTGGTATCGATGTAGGCCCCAATAAAGAACAGAAATGTTTTCATTATCAACATAATCAATAGCATTAACATAATTATTATTAACAACTATCATTAGTTTAATCATAAAAATTATCACCATTATGATCATAGCCACACATTACTGCGATATTTCTAGGGAATGCTTCCACGTTGTAGGAAACAAATGGGGCCGTAGACGCGTGGTCATCAGAGTCGTTATCATTGTCATTTATCACTGGCCATCTTCCTCGCCCATTATCCATTAATGTGACGTGTTAAGTCAAATGATATCGTTAGTTGCCATTAGCAATGTTTTATACGCAGTGATCTATAGGATAATGCAGAATGCAACATTATAGCTATTAATGTTTCGATAACACACTACCAAAGTATTTTATGTGAAAATGCAGCCACAGAGAAAAGCATTCATTCAATCTGCCATTAGCACGTCTTAGAAGCATTTCTGCTTTTTATAAATAATAAAATCTCATTCACCAACCTATGAAATAAAGGCAGTGGGCGTTTCGCATATTTCTGTTGTGCGCGTGTGTGAATGCGTGCTCGCGTGTGCGCGCGCGTACGTCTCTCAGTTGGCTTACTGAAAAAGTAGCCTTATTGAGTACATCACTTCGCCCACACCCGAATTCCCCACAAGTATGTGGGAAAATACCTTAATTATGATGTTGTTGCCTTTTTCAACAGAAAACAAGGACAAAAGAAAAGGAATAATAGCTGGAACGCAACTCGTCTTCACCCGCTGGCGTTATGGCGCGTCTCTACCCCGCACAGGGACTTACCTTCTTTTATTTTTTGAAGGAGATCGTCATCGATCCATCCTTTTTTTACTAGCACTGATTACCGTGTAATTCCCTTAAGCGATACAGCACTCCTTCAGTAAACTCTCTTTCTCTTTACTTTGGCATTACTCTGTTCTTGTTCCTATAATCGCTAACATCATCATTTTACGTTGTTAATCTGATCAGTTGACAGCTTGCTGTACTAACACAAAATAAAAGGACGAGAAGGAAGTGCACACGTCATCTTCCTCCTAATGCACTGGCTAGCCTAAAATTCTCCAACTCTTCCTTCAGCTTGAAGTCTTCTTTTCATAACACAGTCACACACAGACACGCGATATGCAATTTAATTATGGAGAGTCTTCTTCGCCGACTGCAATCAGTTAAAAGGATATTTTTTGAGAGAGAAACGCTCAGAATCAGGACAGTTTTTAAGTCCGTTTTCTGAAAAGCACTAGTCCAAGGCAAACAGATACTGTGGCGGACAGAGAGCGCTAGTTGACAAGACAGTTAGCAGCGCAGTCGCGTAACGCAGAGCAGCCCTGTGGCCTCACAAACTTCACTACTTCGAAGTGCTCGACATGTTTCTCAAATGGCAGTAATCTTATTTTGCAGAACATGCATTATCGAACAATTAAAATTTAGCCAAAAATTTTGAACGAAAAGCACTAAAAGCGATCACAAAAGAATTCCTTAACAGGTCTATTATTCCTCGGCAATGACTTAAGTACAGAAACAGTTCGATTGTTCATTAATGACACAGCACTCACGAGTAGCATTCCAATATTACCTTTGTTAAGATCTCAGCGTCCTAATATAATATGTACGGGTCACGATCGGAATGCAGTTTCGTATTGATTGACGGCAGAAACGTTCACACATAAAACCAAAAACGACCCGAGTCAGGTTCGAATCCTATAATTTTTATCCGAGCCCGTATTGCATGTTTTACCCCAGAAGACCAAGACCGCTACATTGTGCTTTGTGGGGAGATTTTGCGCATAATGTCAATGCTTTAAAAAAATCACACAAAGGTTTACTGACTGATGAAGTCTAAAACGCTTCAATCTTTATTGCAAATTAATCAACAAAAGACCAACATCTGAGAGCAGATTGAGGCCGTCTTCTGGGTCTTCCCAAAGACGATTAGTTTTTCAAGTTTTTATTGACAGGTATCTATTTTTTCTGTCGGAAGACGGCCAAAAATGGAGGACGGATCAACAAAGATAATTTGGAAGACTATCTCGGGATCCGCCCCTGACATGTACCAGGATCGATCAGGCTGATCATTTGGCCACGTGTAAACGCTCTCTTAATTGCTCCACAAGAGAACGTTCTTCACTAAGTACTTTTATTCTACAAATTGGCAGCTGGTTTCCTTTCAATACAGTGATTTCTGCATTAAAAACCCACTGACTCTCTCAATTTGAGCATTATCATGCTGGTATGGTACATAAATGACTTCTTGTTTAGGCCCTAGCTAGTATTTTTTAGACCCTAGCTAGTATTTTTAGACGGTCTCGTGGTTGAGTTGGAAAGCGTGTAGATAGAGACTGGTCAGTTTCACTCGGCTACTACCTTAGTATTTTACTATATTTGACTAAAATTGTGATTTAATTAAATCAAATTTAAATTTCATTTCATTTATTTCAATTTCTTTTATCTATATATTACTTACTTTTTATTATTTTATTTATTTGTTTGCTTATTCTTTTTTGTAATATCAGTGAAGTACCTAAACTAATTCAAATAGAATGCTGTCTTAAAAACACTGAGACAAAATCTCGATATAGAACACGTATGATTTGTCCATTACCTGGATTTTCACATAATATAGCGCCGCTTTCAGCTTGCAATTTAGACCTTCAAGCCATAGGCAACAGAGCAAGTCTTTTAACAGTGGATAAACTACAACGAGGTCAAAACTGAGGCGCACTCCAGGATCGCAATTGGACCAAGGTCGCGCACATGGAAACCCGCCTTTGGG